GCTTATTTGATCTTCTATTTCCTTTTTGGACTGCTATTTTATCCTTTGAGTTTTCCACAAAGTTCTCTTTATCCTTTAAGAATTTTGATCCCATTTCTTGTTCTTTGTTTTTCTCTATTTTATTCATCTTTTTAGCACTTTCGGAAAGTGGCTGTGGATCAAAACCATTAACTCGATCAATGTGAATGCATGCGAATATCCTTTTCTTCCATGCTCAACTCACATATATTTTTCTTTTAATTACCCAACTAAATAAACAAGCATTTTCTTAACTTTTTTTCCCTTGCGAAAGGAGATCAATTAAATTTCGTCACAAAATTATCAAAATAAAAAAATAAGGTGGATCCCTTGTTGTCATATGATAGATCTATTACATTGGAGATAGCTTAGGGCTTACTTGGTGGGGTTACATTCTAAAGGAATTAGCAAGTGGGTGGTCGGGACCTCTCATTTATTCATACTTACTGTACTTGAAAAAAAAAATATAAAAAGGAAAAGGAATAGGTCTCCTTTTAACAAATTATATTTCGATGTAAATTGATTTGGGGTCAGTTTGCAGTGGGTTAATTATATTTTGTTTCTTAATCTTGTTATCAAATTGTGGAAGATGCATGATTAAGGGAAATATTCTTTCTCCTCAAAGATTGACTTTGATGTTGCAAAAATCAAGCATTATTGGAACTAAAAAGCAAAAAAAAGATGGAAGTAACACCTCTCGTGGCTAAAGGCTAAAGCAATATCACCGCCATCCAATTTTCTGCCACCTCTTTTTATCTTGTTTGCATCCTAAAACGGTAAAAGGTTTTGAAATTTTGTGCATTAGGTAAGATTTGAACCCATAGTTCATGCAACAATCAGGAAGCGGCTAGATCATTTGCGTCGGGCGCTCAATATGTGAAGAATGTGCACATATGGATATAAATATCATACATACATGTGAAACAGAAAATTAGAGGCCATGTGTTATGCCACTGCCTGCACACCTTTATAGATGGCCTAGTTATCCTTTAGTAACTTTTTTTTCAACGAAAAAGGGTCCGAACTCCACATAGAACTTCAACGATCCGAACTGTATATTTTATAAGTTTCAATTCATATATCATCATTGCAAAAATTCAATTCAATCCGAAATCATTTGCTTATTTAATTATCAAGATAAAATTTCATTGTTTCTTATATAACAAAGTTCAATTCAATTCGAAATCATTTGAGGTGCAACTCGATTCAGATCGTTAAAGTTCGATTTAATGTGAACCCCACATCTAATCCTCACTTCCCTTAAAGATTTCCTTACTTTAAAAACCCAAAAAACAAAAAAAGATTTCCTTACTTTGAGATTGCCCACAACACTCGATAACTTCTGATAACTTCTGAATAACTAACCATCCAAGATCCTAACATTCTTGCAATGTTGTTCATTTAAGTAATAGAGAAAAATAAAATTTTACTTCTTCATATCACCAACAACATTCTTACTGAGAATATACATCCTTACTCTTAAACCCTAACAAATTATGAAATTTGTCAGAAGTCAAGTTTTCCAGTGTTAGAATTCTGACTTAAATCGTGGAATCCTGGTGAAGTAGACGTCTGTAGAACTACAAGCACTGAGTAGGGACATAATTTATGTTTCAAGGACATTACGGTACGCAAGCCTCGATCTTCAATTTGTCTGTTTAATATTATTTCGTTTTGTTCATACCTTGTTAAATTATTTGTTCACATTTATTATTTATTAGCATATATAAATTTATCATTGATTGTTGATATTTATCCAATACTGTACACATAATAAACCTTTGATAGGGTGAAGTGGGAATTAGTTAGGTTTAATTTGTAAGAACATCGGATATAGGTATTAGGTTTTGGCTTTTCTATTTAGGGAAGAGAATTAGGCCTCGTTTGATAAAGCAATTAAAATGTTTAGTAAAAATAAAATATCTTACTTATTTTAAAAATAATGGTCTCTAAACAACAATTTTTAAAAGCATCATGTTGGTTGCTTCTAAAAGTTGCTTTAATAGAAAGCAGAGTTGAACATTTAATAAATATTTTCAATTCTTGTAATACCCTCATTAGTTTTAAAAGTGACATTATTTAACCTTCTACACTCATTTTATCCCTTGAAGAACAAAGTGACCGTCAACCTGCCACTACAAACACTAACCTTACACCACCACTGTCATTACCATGACAACCATGACCGCCACCACCGCCATTACAACCACCACAACCACCATTGTCACCACTATTGTTGCCACCATCGTTACCACCATTGTCACCATCACCACCATAACCAGTCGCTACTACCATCACTGTCATCGCCTCTACCCCCATTGTTACCTCTACACCTCAACCATCACACCCTACTATTGGCACCACCAACATATTGCTACTTTTGTCGCTGCTATCACGACTGCCACCACCACCACCACCACTACCCTCGCTACCACTGTCATCGCCACCACCTAACTACCACGTCCACTTTTGTCATTATGTACAATTATATCACTTTTACATTGAAATTTACTAAACGGTTTTACATTACTTTTCATACTCACAACACTTTTAAAAATACAGTTTATCAAAGCTCAACTGCTTTCTTTTACAACTGATTATTCTTAAAGCACAACATAACTTTTTTTTTTGTTTAAAAATGCAGCAATCCCAAATTGGCTCTTAGTAAGGTCTAATTTGTACGTATATCGAATATAGTTAAGAGGTTGTTGTTTTTCTTTATTTGGAGGAGATAGAAGAAGAATAAAATGCATATATTACGATCATAGAGAATTTTAATCATAATTTTATATTAAATACAATTATGTCACTTGCACATGAGATGATAAATAAATGTGGTACAAAAATGTGTTCTCCCTATCATTCTTCGTTAAAGAAAATAAACACCTCATCTAGTACTTGTGGTGAGTGTGTGACTGTGCGTTTATACATATGTATATGTATATATAACATAATGAGAAGTTTTATTCGAACCCGTATAACCTATCTCTACACCCTACTTAAACTTTAAATATGATTTGTCTTTTTTACTCTATTGTAGAATTACCATTAAATACAAGATGAAATCAACAATACAACTTAAATTTATCAATAAACCCATCCCAATATCAAACTCTTAGCAATCTTAAGATGAATCCCTAAGACTTGAGATAAAAAAAATGTATTGAACTTAATGAAATCGTGGTTTTGAGGATTGGAAGTATATTGCAAATTCTGAACTTGAAATATGAAACGAATGGTTGGTAAGAATTTATTGGTTCCAAGAAAACGACGGCGGCTAATGTTTGATCTTTATAGATTGCGTCTTCTGCATAATGTATGATTTAGGCAGGAAGTTACAAGAACTTACATAAGGTTATAATCATTTGAAGATTGAGATTTACAATTATAGTCTAAAGTCCATATTATCGTAAACAATTCTCCTAGTGATGTTCGCTTTCGAATATTTTGAGATGTCTCTAGTGTTCTTGTAAATGGATCACATATTTACTTCTTGGACATCGATACATTTATTAAGCTCGTGTCACTTTGAGATATAGCTCGAGGCTTATAGGTAGCAGTCAATACCAGTTGGCTGATTTAACTTTTCTGGCATTTTGTTGAATTGATTTACTTAACTATGTTTGCTTCTTACATGTTCTACTTTCGTCATTCTACTCTACCCAAGAAAAATCATTTACAACTTATGATCGGGAGTTATGGTTTAGAGATCATCTTTGCTACTCAATTGGCAGTATACTTCCAATCCTTAAAAACACAATTTCATTGATTTTCGTATACTTCAAATAAATTTTATTGCAGTATACTTTTATTCTCAAAAACGCAGTTTATTGCAGTATACTTCCAATAAATCATTCATTTCATATATCAAGGTCAGAAATTATAAAACAATATTAAGTTTGGGTTTTTATTTTCTAAATAGGTGTAAAGATAAATTTACATATTGAATTGAGTTTGTGAGGATATTTTAGGTAGTAAATTTGGGTTAAAGAGATATTGATAGTTTAATTAAAAATAATATGGGTATAAAGAGTAAATTGGGTGTAGAAAAAAGTTATATGGGTTCAAATAAAATTTCCCTAACATAATTTGAAGGTAGATGGGGAGAATACCATTGAGATTATTTGGTCATGTACATATGCATATATTTGGTAACAATCTGTGGAGGTTGCAAGATGGAAGGTTGAGTGTGACGGAAAGTAGTGGTTATAAAAAGAGGATATGTTTATTAATTATAGGGATTGTATTGCCTTCAAATTTGTTCTAGTTGGCAGAAAAGTTATACATTTTTGTCGGCCGGATAAAAGTGTATACCCAAAAATTGTTTTGAAGACCTTCTATATATGTTAAATTTGTTAAAGTTAACAAAAAATCATGCAACATAAAATGCAAAATTGGTCAACTTTTACTAAATTATCCATAACCGACCAGTTTTCTAATTTATTTTAATTTCTTATAAAATACAATTAATTTGGAATAATACTATTCATACCATATTTTTATACCACATTTTTATTTAATGTGAACAGTCACATTATTTGAATTAATCAGATTTTTAAATTTAGTTCATTATTTAATAAATTAATAATTAAAAAAATTAGTTAATTAAATGATGAATGTGGTATAGGAAGAGTTTTTCTCCTTCATTTCCTTGGGTTTTGCAAATTTTTCAAATGATATTGTTGTCCACATTAAATGCCACCTAAGGTGGTATAGAAATATGGTACAAAAACATGTATGAATATCATTATTCATTACTCATTAATTTGACAAGAATAAGGAGATTAGTGGTCGTGATTTTATATTATAGTTCACGTACAAGTTATTGGTGGGATGGGGTATACCGTGGCTGCTCAGCTGCAGCAGCTGTAACGTGAAATAAAAATTGATAAAATGGAAGAGCATAACCTTGGTCCTTTTTTTAGAGGGGAAAAAGAAAAATGGTTTTCTTTGTCTATAAAAGGCAGTCGTATGCCTAACCAATTCCTCACTGCATTAACTACCACATTATTCTCTTCTCTCTCATTTTCTCTGTCTATTGCTGTTAAGAAGCTGATGGTTTTTCCTTGCTTTGGATTTTGTATGATATAACACATCCTCTTTACACTTCTGTATTGGATTAAGGAGGGAGAGAGAAATCAGATAACGTTTCAAAGTCACCAAGAAACAACTGTAGAAGTTAAGAAAGTAAAGATTTAGTAAACACTACTGTGCTGGTGGCTGGTGGGTTTCTGTTACAAAGTCGAAAATTCATATCTAAATAAATAAATCCAACCTTTTCTTTTTCTTCTTCTTCTTCATTTGGTTTACAGAATCAATGCTGGAGACTAAAATGCTTATTGGCGTGATGGGATTTGTTTGATTTGCGTAGGAATAATTACACAGAAAAAGTTGGTGGTTTGAAAGAAGAAGGAGAAGAAGAAATGAAGTATGTTTTGGTGACAGGGGGAGTAGTAAGTGGACTTGGGAAAGGAGTGACTGCTAGCAGTGTTGGCCTTCTTCTCAAAGCTTGTGGACTTCGAGTCACTTCCATTAAAATTGGTCTCTTTCTCTTCTTCTTCTTCTTCTTCTTTTTGTTCTTCTTGTTCTTGTTTTTGTTTCCTTTTATTTATTATTGTTATGTTGCTAATCTCTGCCGTTTTAACCTTTTGAGGCAACCCATTATGCCGGTTTTCTTGGAAAGCTCATCCACTTTTTCGTTTCCTTTTTTTTTTTTATGGAAAAAAAAAAGATGCATCAGATTTAGCTTTTTTCTGCTAAACATTCTTCTTCTTTTTTTAATAGGTGTATGAAAGATTTTAAATTTCAATTAGTGTAACTTTAGGAAAAGAAACCTGAATGCCTGCAATTCTCTTATCAATTTTCATATGGATTTGCATCTCTTTTGTGGGAATTTATTTCTCCTTTTTTCTGATCATGATTTCTCTGTTCTTTTGTAATTCAGATCCTTACCTAAACACCGATGCCGGAACTATGTCCCCAATTGAGCATGGTGAAGTGTTTGTGTTGGATGATGGTGGTGAGGTACAGAAACTCACTCTCCTGCCCCTTTCTAGATACTTATTTCCCCTTCTTTTTAGGGACAGTTTGTGAGACGAACTGTGATTTGTTAGAAGCTTTGGATCTTCCGAAGAAAAGTTGATGAATGAATTTTTGGATAGCAAAAGGCAGAAACCTTATTGTTTTTTAACTAAGGGATATTGTAACTACTCTAATCCACAGAGAGGGGATTAATTCACACTCTGGTACAAAGGGGTAGGCACACCACTGTCCAACTGGCATAACCCACGTTTGCATGAGCCGAAAACTTTATTAATGAGAAATATTTGTTGTTTTTCAGTCTAATCTGAAATTTTGACTCGAAACTAATAAATTCTAAATATGAAATTTGGACTCAACTGTCAAAATCTGAAACAATATTTGCTAATTTGTTTTTTTTTTCTTTTTTTTTTTCAATGTTCACAGGTGGACTTGGACCTTGGAAACTATGAAAGATTTCTAGATATCAAGCTGACTCGTGATAATAATATTACTACTGGAAAGATTTACCAGGCAAGTGAATATGTATAGATATATATGTGTGGGTGTGTGTATATATGATATTATAATCTACATAATACCTACTAGTGCATATTCCAAAAATCTCTGGATAATCTAGATGACCAATTAGCAAAGATTTGATTTTTCTTTTCTTGTGTCGCAGGAGGTTATTGACAGAGAGAGAAAGGGAGATTATCTGGGAAAAACTGTCCAGGTTTTTGCCTACCTCTAACTTTTGACTCCATAGTACTATATTTATTTAGTCCTTATGTTTCTCATATTTTTCCCCTTCTTTTTCTGCAGGTTGTTCCTCACATCACAGATGCAATCCAAGAGTGGATCGAGCGTGTAGCCAAAATTCCAGTCGATGGAGAGTCAGGTGCAGCAGATGTTTGTGTCATAGAATTGGGTGGAACTATAGGTATACATACATACGTACATATATATATATATATATATATATATATATATATATTTCACAACAACGTTCTTGATTTCTTTTAAATTACTAAAAAAATTTATGGTTGCAGGTGATATTGAATCCATGCCTTTCATTGAGGCATTAGGACAGTTCTCATATCGCGTCGGTAAGCAAATTGTATAACAAACTTCATATGACACATTATGTAAATTCTTTGTGAAAACTTGGTTGAATTTTTTTCATTTCAGGTAGTAACAACTTTTGCTTGATTCATGTGAGCCTTGTGCCTGTTTTGCGTGTTGTTGGTGAGCAGGTAAAGCTTCTTATAACTCGGTAAACTTTTCTGTTATGAGAAAAAAAAACTACTTTGCTCTAATGGATGTATCGAATCATGTTCAGAAAACAAAACCAACGCAGCACAGCGTTCGTGGACTGAGATGTATGGGTTTGACACCGCATATCATTGCTTGTCGCAGCACAATGGTCTCTCTCTCTCTCTCTCTCTCTCTCTCTATACATACACACACACACACACACACACAAACGCGCACATATGCTGCCAAATGTTTTCTTTGTCATGTTGCCTTAAGGTTCTAAATTTACAGGCACTAGAAGAGAACGTGAAGACTAAAGTCAGTCAATTCTGCCATGTACAGGTAAATGTTTGAAAAAATTTAGTTCAAGCATTTTACTTGAAATCTTGCTGTCTGCTTTGTAGGATGCTTACTTTACTAAAGCTCCAATGCTAAATGTTTTGTAGAAAGAGAACATCATCACTCTCTACGACGTTCCCAACATCTGGCACATTCCATTACTTTTAAGAGTAAGTTGTTCTCCACAAATTCTGAAATGTATCGACTTTCTTAAATCATTTTGAATCTCTAATTATCACACGCTTCTGGTCAAATAGGATCAGAAAGCTCATGAAGCAATCTTCAAAGTGCTCAACCTTCAAGGGTTTGTCCCATGAACTCTTCTCTCTTTTTTCTTTTGCCATGTAATTTTGGGATGTAATCCTATTCATCAGTTGCCGTGGTGTTTTAGTTTTCAAACATTCATCCATAATGTGCAGATTAACAAAGGACCCTGAATTGGAAGAGTGGACTTCTAGGGCTGAAATTTGTGACAAGTTGCATGAGCCGGTAGGTTCCAAGACCAAAGCAATTCCTAAATTCATGCTTCTAGGTCTGTCTGTTGGTGGAAACTTGAAGTGCCAATGTCATTTGTGTAACAGGTTCGCATTTCCATGGTCGGAAAGTATACAAGCCTTGCAGATGCCTACCTCTCTGTACAAAAGGTGCACCTAGCTACCACTTAATTCTGTTACCAAGTGTTAATTGTTTTGCTTTCATTCTGACACTCAAATTCGGAAATATTACGTATGATTGAGCTTATTAGATGGTTTGCAAATTGGTGATGGTGCTGGATATAAAATGTGTACTACTTTCTGCAGGCTCTTGTGCACGCTTCTGTTGCTTGCGGCAAGAAACTTTTCGTGGATTGGGTTTCGGCTGAAGACCTTGAAGAAGCAACTGAAAAAGAGGTTATTAATACATATTATATTTATTTGTAAAATTTATGTACATTTTACCTTAGATAAAAACTTGACAGAAAATGTGCATATTGCAGAATCCTGATGCCTACAAAGCTGCATGGAAGTTATTGAAGGTTTGTACCGATGTTTAATAGCCTTCTTACGTTGTAGTTGCTTTCTTTGTTACCCTTCTGACTGGCGTATATCTTCAGGGTGCAGATGGTATTCTTGTTCCCGGAGGGTTCGGTGACAGAGGAGTGCAAGGGAAAATTCTTGCTGCAAAATACGCCCGGGAAAAGAGAATTCCTTTCCTTGGCATTTGTCTAGGAATGCAGGTTGCTGTGATTGAGGTTGCACGGTCTGTTCTAGGTCTGAAAGATGCTCATAGTGCAGAATTTGATCCTGACACTAAAAATCCCTGTGTTATTTTCATGCCTGAGGTCTGTATTTCTTGAATTTTTCAGCAAATGGACTTTATCTTGTTTTTCCTATTATCTGATCTCTGTGCCATGTAAGCAGGGCTCGAAAACACATATGGGAGGCACGATGCGTGTTGGATCCAGGAGAACATATTTTCAGTCTACAGACTGCAAATCAGCTAAACTGTGAGTACTAATTTGGAACGGAATACGCACATTTGATTTCCATAGATCACATTTGTTTGAATCTTCAATCATACTTTTTCATAAGAATCAAGGTTTCTGAGGAAATGATTGATCTGCAAGGATCAATCAGTAACTTGATTTAATACACATGAAAATCAGAGGGTACCAGCATGCTGAATGAGATGCCTATATTGGCTAATCTGTGCAATTTCCGTTTTGTTAGATATGGAAACAAACGCTTCATTGATGAGAGACATCGGCACAGATATGAGGTACGTAACATCCCAATGCAAACAGTTGTATACTCTATGACACTATTTTTGTCAGTAGGACTGATTCTGTTGGATATTCAGGTTAATCCTGAAATGGTAGCACGCCTTGAAAATTCCGGCCTCTCTTTTACGGGCAAGGATGAAACTGGCCAACGCATGGAGGTATAAACTTTCATTCTGTCTTTTTAACTTTAGAATCAAATGGATTTGTACACTGCGGTGATTCTGAGGTAACATTTGGTATATCGACATTACAGATTGTTGAGCTGCGTAATCATCCATATTTCATCGGTGTCCAGTTCCATCCTGAATTTAAATCAAGACCAGGAAAACCTTCTGCTTTATTCTTAGGTACATGCCTCATTTATCCTTAAACTTGTAAACTCAGCTTTGTGTTTCAGTTATACTACGTTACATAAACTTGAGACTTACACCGCACATACTGCTAGTTTTGGTTAAAAGTTTTGATCATCGCTAACCTTCCAACCGTTGGATCCAATCTCTACCCTTGAGATTCTAAAAATAGCTAGAGATAAACAAAAACTGATTATTCATAGCAGTTGGTAACTTGGTACTCAACTTGAAATTAAGAGTGCTCAATATTGTTCCTCTAAAAATTAGGCCAAGCTTAATTATTATGCAATTTTGTTCAATTGTTCCGTTACGACTATAGGTAGAGAGGCCCAAGATCATTTAAACAGCTATACGAGACTTTAATTCCCCAATGTGGAATTCACACTCTCAACATAATAAGGTGAAAATTTCTGAAGTTGACCAGCCTGATCCAATTTACAGCTAAAAGTGTTGTCACATATTTGAGCTAGACGATGGTTCTTCAGATTGTGTACCTCATTGCCGCAGTTTGATCATTTGAATCTTACTTTATGCTAATTTTGAGAACCCGAATTCAAAACTCTTCTCTACTCATAACGTGCATCAGATTGCAGAAGTAAAACAAAACCTTCTAAATAACCATCAATTTTGTAATATCGTGCAGGGCTTATAGCAGCAGCATGTGGGCAGTTGGACAATCTCTTGCAGGGCTCTGAGAGCAAAAGAAACGTCCCAAATCTAGCTGCCAATGACATGCTGTCCCAAAGGAATATTGTCCCAAATGGAGCAAGCAAGGACATGTCCCAAAGGACTAGTGTTCCAAATGGAGCAAGCAATCATATGTTCAAAGCAGCATGTGGGAGGAATGTCCCAAATGGAGCAGCAAAAGCATACCATAACGGAGCTGTAACAAAGTTTGCCAATCGAGCACAAGACGGTGCATACAGCATTTTCAATGGGATGCACTTGTGAAGGCAGTTGATGCCTCTACAATATTAACTAGTAGGAGATAATCTTTGGTTTGTGGTGTGGTTTAGGGGACGATTATTATTATTATTATTGCTAATTAGCAGGGGTTTTAGGTGATACAATATGATAGGATTGGTTTGTACAGTCTTTTGGTATATGGTTAGATATATAGCCATCCAAAGACACAAACGGTAGAAAGAACGGAGGAGAGAGCCGAGTCCTGTGGTGTTTTTTGAAAAGCAGGTTTCAGCTTGTCAAAGTCTTATGTGCTGCACTCGGAATTGTGCAGGGGATTTGTTGCCCCTTCTTCACCCCCCATGCAGCTCCCTACCCTTTGTTTTTGTCTTGATTTTAATGCAGTAATAACTATATTATATATGCATTGGCTCAATATGGTTAGATGTATTGCCCAAATTAGCATTCCCATTGGCCACTACTTTCTCTGGATCAGTGCATTTTGTAATCAACCATGTTCATCTTTTGATAAATGACGGGTTTCATATCAGTGTTGAAGATAATGTATTGATAACATTTTAGTACGTTTTGTTATTAACATGTTATCAACAATCCGTCATTTAATAAAGAAGAAACATTATGTCCAAAAAAATATTTACTCATGGTCCGAACTCCAAAAAAACATGTTCGGTGCAGATATTCAAATTACAATGGTGTTAAGTTTCTAAACTAAATGTTTTAAGTGCTCAAATCCAACTGCTCACCAACTTTGAGTAGTTATGGGTTCGCTGAAATGTTCAGCAAACCAGCAACCGAAGAATTCGGTAACACTGCCGAGCATAGAAAAATAAACTAAATAGAAGGATATTCGGTGGCACCCAGCCGAACAATTTCAAAACAAAATTTCCGCAGGTGGCCCTGCACTTTTCTGAGTGACCACATCCCTTTAAAACACCGAAAACCGACAAACGGATAAGAAACAGTGAAGTGAAGCTGCTGGGGATGGAAGATTGAAAGCAGCGATGGCTCTGCTAACTAATAGCCTGCTAGTCCTACGCGCCCAACAACTCGGTCCGAGTCGAACTCACGCCCCTGCTACGAGTTATCTATACCATTCGCATCCCTGTGGAGCAACATCCTCCGTTTCGCTTCGGTTGTGTCATGGGAACCGAAAAGTCAAGACACAAGCCTCCAATGCAGATAACCAAGCAGTGAAAGTGGAAGAGAAAAAGGAGGAGGAAGAAGAAGAATTTCAAGTACTGACGGCCATGAAAAGCGATTTCAACGACATTGTAATCGTCGACACTCCGAAATCGAGATTGCTGCTCCTCGATTCTTCTCGTATGTGTTTCTTTACATATTTTTCCTCAGTCGAATTGTTACCCATTATTTTGTTCTGCATTTATATGTTGTTTTTGTTTTGGGTTCGTGCAGATAATGTGCATAGCATTGTTTACAAGGACCAGAAGTGGACTGCTTCCTACTGGGTATGTGTATTTCAATGTGTTTACGCACCCAAGTTTGGATCTTCCTTATGCAGTTGAGATTAGATTAGAGTATCGCTCGAATATGTGAAAGAAAGTCTTTGTGTTTGTGTTGTATTATGCAGGATGAGTTTGCTAGCTTGCCTGCTATTGTTCCGAAAGGTCCTATTGCCATCCTTGGCTTGGTAATTCGTTTCATTTTGGACAAATGTTGAGTATCTTGTGAAATTCCTTTCGTATTGTAACTAGTGTTTTCCTGAGTACAACTGTTGCTGAATTGTTCACGGCAGGGTGGTGGAACAGCTGCTCATCTGATGCTCGACTTGTGGCCGTCATTGCAGCTTGAAGGTTGGGAAATTGATCAAATTGTGAGTGTTTTGAAAAGCATTTGAATTGACTTCATAGGTTTGAACAATCCTTTATAATTGCACTACTTGAACTATACATATATAAACGAAAGCTTTTTCATGACATTGAATTACTATCATGTGGTAACTTAAAGAGCACATTCAGACTATTGAACAAAGGATTCAAAATCACTTTGTTTCAGTTTGAAGCATTATCTACGTAGACATCTCTAGTCCTAAGCAGTTCTATGCGCTTCATCTTATTTCAATTCTGATGTAATTTGTTCGGTGGCTGCAATTCTATTGCAGCAATGCCAAGATTGCACTGCATTACTAGTGCATTTATTGGTCATGGGAATCATAACACGTGAATATGTTATGGGAATTTTCAAATCATATGCCACCGGTTTAAATCATGTTGATGGCGTGGGCCTGCTAGGACAGTGTTTCTGTCCATTGTCTAGGAGAGAACATGTAAATCATCTCAATGTTTCCCTAACTGGGCTTGAAAATCTTATATTCGTGGAATACAGTGGCATCACTATCTAAGGTCTTTGCCCTTAGCAGCACCTTTAAGAATAGTAATCCTAACAAGTTCTTTCTGGAAGAAATGCAAAAACCAAGTATATGGGCAGAAAATTATTTAGCTGTGAGAAAATTTCTTTTGAAATTTATTAAGTTATGAACATAACTCTTGTCTCAAATAGCTGAAAAGTATGCAGAACTACTGAAAAAGTCAAACACACAAGGTTAACAACATTTAGATTAATAGAAACATCGCGGACAAGAAAAATATCACTAAACAGGCTACTTGGTCTGCAGTCCATTTCTTAAAAATGTTACCTTCAGAAGTTGTACTATCTCATCTGTTTGGCTCTCACGACTAAACTCACTAAGCTGCATTGTTTGCTGAATATGTATGGACTTGGACATATGATTAAACTAATATACGGGATCCATTGTGGTTGTAATTTTCAGTTTTGTCATATGTTTAATCTTGGAAAATCATATTTGCTGATATATGCTATGATCTGCTAGTATGGTGAATGCTTCCTTACTCAATATTTCAAATGTTTTTAGTTGATTGATAAAGCAAGAGAATATCTTGGACTGTCTGATCTTGAGAAGCGTACTCAAGCTGGTGGCGTACTTAATGTTCATATTGGTGATGCCCTTTCTCCTTCAGTTAATATTCCTGGAGGATATGCTGGTGAGATCCTTGTCTACATGGCTCGTTGTATTACCTGGCTCACATTTTTTATTTCTTTGGATGTTGTGGACAGATTCAAGGGTTTGTTTTGTAATTTATGTACTCCTGTGCATACTTCCCGAGTACATACATTGTATATGCCTCATTTTTTGCAATTCCCTACAGTTCTGTCCCTACTGTATTGCTAACTTGTTCTTGCAGCAAATATCAGGCATTGTCATTGACTTGTTTTCTGATGGAAAAGTTTTGCCACAGTTGCAAGAGGTATGAAGATGCTATCTGACTTATTACTTCTCCAACATTTGATACACTTCATCTCCAGATGATCATCTTGTCATCAATCCCAGTTTTAACACATCAATATCTGGAAATATATAGAGAATGCTATGCACTTGAACAATCTTATTCTGAGTTCCATTAGAAAGACCTAGAAGAAGTATTTTGAAGGGGTATAGTGAAATTTCCATGAGAATTTATGCTTTATGCAGAGAATGCAATTATTTAATCAAGGAATAACAGGAGGAGCAAGGAAATAAGGAGAGAGAAACACGTATGGATTTAGACTTAAAAGAGTCATCTTGAATGTGCAGAAGAAATCGTCAAATGTCATTCAGAATACTGCTTTGACTTGGCCAGAGAAAACAGCCCTTGTAAACATGGATGTGAGAATGAAAAAGGAAGTCATAAAGGAAGGACCCATAGGGAAGTGATGTTAAATGTTGTTAAATGCAGGATCAATATTGGTTGAAAGCTCAGTTATAAGCAATCTAAGTTTTGAGATCAATTAATTGTAAGTTGTACAAAAATCAACAGGCTCACGCACTTAAGGACGTTTTGCAGAAGTCTGACTTTAGGGTTTAATACAGATAATGAAGATTGAAACCAACAAAATGTCCAGTTATTATGTATGCTCAAGTTACGTGTTAAGGTAGGAGCCTGGTAAGAAACAATCTGGATCTAAGAATTTGTACAACCTAGTAATTTCGCTAGGACTAGCTACTATGTACTTTCATACTTGCTAATTGTATTTTGGCTATCGCACAGCTGTCCTTTCTTCCAAAATAAGCTATGATGTATCCAACTGCCTATATGTCTTGATAATTTTGTTGTCCTCCATTTTGACCACATCACACGTTACCTTGTGTTTTAACTTTTAAGTTATGATTGTTTTGTATTTTATATGACAGGTTACAACTTGGTTGGAATTAAAGAATCAGCTGATGCCCTATGGCCGCCTAATGGTGAATTGTGGCGGCATAGATGAACCATCTGATGTCAGGGATGGAACAGCTCATCCAAAAAATATATCCACCGATGACAGTTGGCTACCAAATTCTACTATCCAGGCATTATCTAAAGCATTCCCCGGACAAGTAGGGCTTGTTGGCTTGAAAATCTTTTGATTAAGTATTTCCAGCTTGCAACATCTAATTACTTATCAGGATTGCACTAATTTGTTTATTCTAATCATATTTACAAACCGAAGTTTGGATTCTAATATCACTGATGAGACAGATGAGCTATTTTTCTTGTTTATTGAAAACTTTGAAGTCCGAAAATATAATAGGCATGTTTTTTCTGTTCTGTGAAATTGGAATGGCTCAAATCCGAATGTATTAGTCTTGAATCACTTATCTTTCAGAGTTTCCAAGGGTTATCTGCAATCATGGCTAGAGCTAACAAGTTAGGTGGTGCTCTTGCACCTGTATCCGTGTTTGAGTTTGTGCATAAGCACAAAACACAATGAACTTGTTGGTGTGTCGTGTTGATATAAATTATATGAATTATTGGGCTTGTGTTTTTCAGCTTAAATTTTGGGATCAAATTTAGATTCTTTGATTTTAGTCAACGGTTTCTTAGCTTGGTAATGAAGCTTTGATTGTCTGTCTGATTAGTAATTATGTGCTTGAATCTCATGGTAGTTGGTCATTTCCTAAGTTTAAGGATTTAAGTTTTGAGTAACACTGAACTGAAACAATTACTTTCCACTGAACACCCCATGTGTCCTCTGCTTTTACGAATACCAAACTCGATACAGAGAAAACATGCAGTATATACACAATCTATATGAAGAAAAATCAACTTAATCTGCTCATTGCTTTGAAATATGTTTTGAGTTTTTTTGGGGTACCATCGCTTCTCCCTTGTACTGAATTCTGTAGTTAAAATGCTATGATAATTTTGGGCGCCAATTTGTTAATCATTAATTTGAGCTTCTTAGCTTTTCTGTGCATTCATTCTCCAAGTCTTACATGGATCTCATTGTCTTCGTTCATGCTCTGAGTCAATCAGATTTTTGTTTCATTTAATAGGTAGTGCCTCTTATATTGAAGAAAGCTCACGGTTTGATATATGAATTACACAGGTAAGCTGGAAGAAAATGCCGCAAACTTTTGGTGAAAATTATCTCGCACTGACGGGACCTTTGCCAGAACTGAATTCATGGTCTGCTGCAGTAACAGGTCCTTTGACAGACAGTGTGAAGCAATGGAGACCATGCGAACCTTTTTCTTGACGGAGTACTCTAGCTTTTGTTGTGAATGTGATACATTAAACACCCACCCATCATGTTCTTGGAGATAACTACAGCGCATCCCCAAACATCACATGATCACAAAGAATGCTGCATCAGCTGAGGTTTAATCCAACGAGTGAAGGTTGAAACAGCCTACACTAAGATGTATACATTACTTGTATCTTAAGCTTACAACCAACAACTTGGTCAGCTTTGCTCTAATTTATCAGTTTTTGCTACATGCATCCCAAATATATAAGATCAGATCAAGCGTTACCACCCTTTTTATGTTTCTGAATTTTGCACAATATTTTTAGATTCTTGCAACATCATGGGAAACCCAAGATACAGTAGATTCATTTGACCAAGAGAAAATCATGTTGCTCCTCTCTGGTTACTCATGTGCCTTTCCAATTTTTCATATGCAACCATACTTTGACCGCTTGTAGTTGCGGTACAGCTCTTTGTTTGACATTCAGATGTACCCTAATCCTTTTCTGAAGCAACGATATTCTAATTTAAGGGGCCTTGGCTAAGACAGATAAAATAGTAAGCGATAATAATTAGGTTCCGAACTTGTTATTCATGCAAGTAGAACCTAAAATTTTTTAATTACAAGTGATAAAGAATTACCATATCAATAGACTCTAGTTTAGTGACAAGTATATTTTATTATGTTAAATCTCAGGACTTGTATCCAAAAAGAAAAGTCAAAATAGTAGATGTTTGATTTTGTGGTTTAATGGGACGAACACAAAACGCGCCATAAGAGTGTTCACTTTGCATGCATCTAGGTCGCCATGCAAATTAATAATTTAGAGCTGACCAGAGAGAGTGGAGTGGGTTAATGATTGTTGGAGTTGGAGCTACAATAAGCATCATGGAAATGAGCGTACTATACATAATATATATATATATATATATGTATATGTATTATATCTATGTATATATTATATATGGAACATGATGCGAGGAAGAATAGAAGCTCCCATACTCCATGGGATTCCCATATTATTATTAAATGTTTAATGATGAAATTAATGCAGTGTATACTTATAATCTAGTAGCGTTCGTAAAGGCAACGGCACCAATAAGTGTTGTTGCATGTAAACAATAACTATTCAATATTTCTCTAAACGTATACTACTGCATTGCAAATTTGCATAATATACACTGTTACATGCTTAAATGGAAACAAGGCTAATTATTGTATTACACTATTACTAGAACTCTTAAATGTATTTATAGGCTCCCCAATGTCAGGAAAATTATCTTTGCATTAATTTTCAATAAGATTATAGAATCCAGTATTTAATACAGTATCTCATGATTAACAGCTTACTAACTATTACAAACTACAAATCCTAGCTATCAAAATAACAAACTCTAACAAACTGTGAAAAACATTTACAAATTGATACTCCTAAGTTTTATCTTTTACACTTTGATCCTTAATATCCCCCCTCAAACTGAGTTGAGGGAACCGAAGAGATAGTTTGTGTCTGAAAAGCAAAAATCTGGGCTTTGCAAGGACTTAGTACATATGTCTGCAATTTGATCTTGAGAACATATGAAATGAACTAAAATAGCATTGGAAATCACTTTCTCCTTGATATAGTGATAGTCAATTTCAACATGCTTTGTTCGAGCATGGAAAATGAGATTTTTTTGCCAAAGATATAGCTGAAATATTATCACACCACAGTTTGGGAGGACAGGGAAGAACCAGATTAACATCAACCAATAGTTTGCACAACCAAGTAATTTCAGCTGCAGTATTTGCCAAGGACCTATACTCAGCTCCAGTAGAGGAACTAGCCCCTATTGGCTGTTTCTTTGCACTCTAGCTAATAAGAGAATTGCCTAGAAAAATGGAATATCCACCTGTTGATTTTCTGTCTAAAACATAACCAGCCCAATCAGCATCAGAAAATGCATTATTACTAAGAGGAGTAGAGCATTTAGGGAACCATAGACCCAAATCAAGAGATCCCTTAAGGTATCTTAGTATTCTTTTGACAACTTGAAGATGAGATGCTATGAGGCTGTACATGTATTGACAGATAAGATTTACTACAAAAGATAGATCTGGTCTATACCATGTTAAGTATTGTAAACCACCCACAAGAGACCTATATTCATCTGGATTAGAGAGCAGAAGAGAAGTGTGATCCATTTTTGAAGTACTAAAGGTGTAGCATAAGGCTTTGCTCCATCCATTTTAGCTTTCTTAAGCAACTCCAAGATATCTTTGGTTTGAGAAATAAGAATTCCAGAAGATGACCTTTTAACTTCTATGCCTAGAAAGAAGTGTAACGGACCAATGTCTTTAATAGGAAACAAGGTACTGAGTTAAGCAATGGTATCCTTGCAGGCATGAGATAATGATCATGTAACAAGGATGTCATCTACATAGACTAACACAAATACCAAAGTGGGAGCTTTTTTTACAAACAAGGAATGATCATTCTGAGATCCAATGAAACCCAAAGATAAAAGAGCACCTTGCAGTTTCTCATACCAAGCTCGGGGAGCTTGTTTCAAACCATAGAGAGATTTGTAAAGCTGACAAACATGTGTAGGCTTAGTTGGATCCTGAAACCCAGGTGGTTGCTACATGAATACTTTTTCTGAGAGGGAGCCATGAAGGAATGCATTGCTAACATCCAATTAGTTAAGAAACCAATCATATTGAGCATCAAAGGTGAGAAGAAGTCTGATTGTAATTGGTTTGGCAACTGGATTGAAAGTGTCATTATAATCTAGACCTTCTTGCTGGAGAAAACCCTTAGCAACTAGCCTAACTTTATACTTATCTATAGTGTCATCAACTTTCCTTTTTATTCGGAATACCCATTTACAACCCACAAAATTTTGGGATGAATGTGAAAGAACAAGAGACCAAATCCCAATGTTCAAGAAAGCATTGTACTCCTCTTGCATAACATGCCTCCAGTGACAGTGTTTATGTCACGCCCCGGACCCGGAGTCGGTAATAAAAACTTGAATTCGAATCCGAAACGCGAGATAAAGTAAAAATAAATAAAAGGAAATTGACCCGGGTTGGAAAAATAAACTCCTCTTATTAAAATAACTCCAAAATCCTTACAGGGTGTACAAAAATAATAAATTAAAATCCTTAAACTTCTCCTCAATCACAACCTCATCTCTTCTAACACATGTCTTGCCAAATAACATCTGTAAAATAATAGGTGAGGGGTGAACAACAACCACCATTGCTCGGTGAGTAGAATATGTAATATGTCAGTCAAGCAATGCCTTTTTACACACACTAGAAAATACAATAATAATATCAAAGCTTTAACCACGTAATTTCGTATCACATCATCCCTTTACGTGTTCATTACATCCTTCATAAATTGTAACTCACCACGTGACTCCTATTGGCATTTCCACCCTAATGTCCCAGTGTACAGTTTACATTTATCCCTTGGATTAATGCAACACTAAAGTTCTCATGCTCCATGAACATATCCAAATAATCAACATATCACCATATTAATGATTCCAAAGGTATTTCAACAAATCCAACATGCTTGACTTAAAATAGATAGAGGTTTATAAATAGATAAAACCCACAACAATTTGTGGTTTTCATTTTTCAGAAAATAAGAATACTTTGAAACACATTACATAAATCATTCG